AGCAACTGTGTGTGGACGTCTCGGTTTACATATCAAGCACATTTTTCGAATGTTGTTTTCTGTTATTTTTATTTGACTACGTTTATGCGCGTCAAAAGAGTACAATTCCAAATATTGTTATTATCCTCTTTTCCTCTATATTTAAGATTAGAAGATCTATTCATTTCATGCTTGTTTTATGCTTATTCTATTTTATGTATCTTAAAAGTACGTGCAAGCACATACTTATCTCGTTTCAAGTAAAAACGCTATAGAAGAGTGATAGAAAAGAATAGATCTATATTGCTTAAATATTTGCCACACTTTTTGGACATGCATGAACGCGATTGTTATACATATATCCTTAGATGAGCTAAGGAAATCCAGCGTATTTGCTAAGTTTGTTGTTTTATGATAAAAAGATCATAGCACTCCCATGCATGATTATCGATGCGTCTGACAAAAATTGTACAGTATATACAATATATATATATATATATATGTAATTATATGTTCACTTCCTTTTACTATTGCATTCGATTGTTATCATACATTATGATGACACGTTGATTATGATTGCAATCATTGTTATATCGTCAGATTATTTGACAATACTATACGTTTGTTCGTATACACACAAGTATTGATCTTATAAAAAAAAAAAAACATTCTTAATAAATCAATCCCATTTACCTTGAAAAAAATTAAGGATGATAAATATAACATTTTATAACACTTTAAAAAATATAGTTTATGATATGTATTCACCAATTTATTTAATCCTTAATAAATTCACAAGCAATAATTGTAGGGTAATTGTCAATATAAGACAATTAGACAACCCCTAAAATCAAACAATTAGAAACATCCTGAATTATTATGTGACAATTAACTTTTTATTTAGTTATGATAATACATATAATACGAATAATAGACTAGTATGAAAATTTGCAAAGCAGTTTTTGTTATGTATGCATTTATGACATACAAAAAATTATTTTTTTTATTTGAACAGATAACGTGTAATAATATGGAAGGACTTTTGTTTTCTCATTGTTTAAGAAAAATATTTTATATCGTTTACTGAATATATTATAAATAATATAAGATATTATCTTAAAATATTCACATTTTTTAAAGTGTTTTATAGACAGGAAATTGTCTATAAACTAAACTGCAGATTTGATTTATATATAAAAGAGATTTATTTTTATAAAAAAAGTAATTAAGTACATCATCCTTAATAAAATGACTCACATATATCATCAATATATAAAATAATTTGCTACTTCATTAAAAAATATATACAATATGTAGCCAGAGCTACCCAGTGACTAGCGAATCCGAGTTCAGTCCACTTGTCGATGGTATGGCTATAGCTATACCCTGTTTCTTGCAGATTGGACGTATCAAACATGAGACCTAAATAAGCTAAGTGAAACATCGCCAATCCGGAGAATGCCAGATTCGTTATAAACACCCACGAACAATTGGAAGAATTATATTTATGTACACATTTTCGTGTTCCGCACTGTCTAGACGCGATGCAAGCGTCGAAAGTATCAGCAAGCATAGCCCTGAGTTGAAATTCGATATATGTATAAAATCCTAGACTAAGTAATACAGCTGCCAATTGAAAGTTTAATCCGTGCAAAAGAGAGCTTATCAGATATGTGATGATCACCGCGCCAAACGTTCCAAATTTTTTAATGCTAGGACGGAAGATATCTGTGAAAGATAATATTGGGATTAATTTAAACTTTATTTTTATATCGCGAACACGTTTTAAATTTCATTATATGATTCAATGTTCTGAAAAAAAATGAACACTATTTTAAAATAAAATTCACACTTACAAGTTTTTAGCCAACAATGCATTGGAATGTTCCAATAAATGACAACCTGTACAAGCGAGTGTGGAAACTCGATGTACAAAGGCTTAACTATCATTGATGTTGAAAGTGGAAATCCACCCAAAACTAACAGTGCCGAACCTATGTATGATACGAAGTAATGGGACGCTCTAAAAGACAATGCATCTCTGTATGCTATCAACCACCTAAAAAAAATATGAAAAAAAAACATTTTTGTCTTGGAATAGAAAGATTAAATATTTATTAAGAATTTGAAATTATAGATACTAACATCCAAGAGCTATCTACAAATATCCACTGCATCCAACAGTTTGAAATGCTTAGGAAGACAAAGGAAAGAAAGGCATATCCTATACCACATATTATCCATCGTTTTGTCTACAATAGAATTATTTATTTTTATAAAAACCATTATTTTTTCTGAACTATTTTAAAAAGAGCATTATTTTTTATAGATATATATATATATCTATTTTTATATAGTATATTAAAACTGAATTTGTGTTTATTTATGCACCTGAATCTTAGAATAACGCAACAATAGATAATCATTAAAGGATATCCATGGTCCAAACAGACAAGTTACACTACAGAACATGTAACCCATATAACTATAAATATCTGGAATCTTGTTCGAGTCACTTCTATCAATGGCGACACTAATTCCCTTCATCACCATAATCATAATCACACTGCGTATTTTATGCCATATTATTGATTGCATAAAAAATTCACTGAGAATAAATTAAAGTATTATCTACTGAAATATAAGCATAAAAAGTAATTTGAGAAATCTTTTATTAAGACATACCAGTATGCAATTATCAAAAGAGATGGCAAAAAGACTCCTATACCACTATGCCATTTTTTTGGCACATATAAAATAGCATAAGAAAATAGAACATATACAATCAATACAATTAAAGATTCATGAACATAATGGTGGATAATATATAAGCCTATGATTACTGATAATACATGAAATATCTTGTGTGATATATATTCTGAAATATAAAACAATATAAATCATTTTAATTATGACACAAATTAAATGATTTGAATAAGAAGTATATATAATAAGAGTAACACTTTTAATATAGAGAAAAGAATCTTACGGATGTGAACAAACAATCTAAATAAGATTGCGCAACCCAACAAAGGCAATAAAGTATATCCTGTATCATGTAGACTAGGACTAAGACAATACTGATACAATTCATGTAGAGTTTCTTTCTCTGTATCTGCGTAATCATAATCATATTCGACATTGTTGTGTGAGCATTCGTAGTCTAAACAATTGTCTTCGTCGTAAAAGACCGTGGCACCTATGTCTTCCATCACGGTATGAGCAACAAAGAATCCAACGACTGATTAACATAGCATGTTGCTCTGTGTTTAACCTGATTTTTCAATAGAGTAATAAAACTTGGAAATTTCTTGAGTAAAAGAAAAAATGAAAATATTAGATAAACTATAATTTCATAATTTGGAGCAAGTTATGCTTTAAAATTGTTTGAAAAGATAATGTATAGATTGAGCCAACCATTAATATAAACATTGAGATTTATAGACAGATTTCTATATCAAATAATTATGTAAACTATCGCTTTCGCTAATTAATTATACAAAACCAAATAGTGTGTGTATATGCAGAGGTGCGTTCGAGAACGTCATCCGTGTGCACACGAGCGTCATTCTATCTTTGTTCAACTTTCAGTAAATAATGAAGATAAAACGACGCTTGGTGCACATGGGTGATGTTCTCGAACGCAGCCCAGGGGATAAAATACTAAATATTTAAAATGTAAAATTGATATCATAAAAATTTACCTCACTTGAAATTATGTGCTATAGCCGCGATACAAATGCCCGGTCCATATCAGTCACATCCGACATCAAACTCGTTAGGTTTATTCTTTATAGCAAAATTTCTTATACTTTTTATCTTTCCTCTCTTCCTCTCCATTTTCTAAATATTTGTTTCATTTTTGTGTACACTAGAGTGCAGAAAGTACAGCTATAAAGAACAAACCTGTTGTTTGCTGCGCGCAAATTTGGCGCGAAAAACGACTGTATATCCTGATATGATGATATGTATGTATATCTTTACATTGAAAGATGTGTATAATTTATTATATATATATATAGCAGTGTAATGAATGAATAATATATTTGCATGTATATTATACTTCTATCACTATTAATTACTTTATAACGTCAGAAATTATATATATAAAATATATATAAATATTTAATATTCATATATCACAACCTTAATTTGAGATTTAAAAATTATTAATTTTATTATTACTTTTTAAAATTCATATAAAATCATAATTATTGGAATACAAGATCTAATATTCTGGGTGTAAAATTTACCTAGAAACACTTTTTTATTCACTAAAATAAGTATCGCTTACATAGATAAGCATATCTAATGAATAAGTACAAGAAAGGAAATAAATATATATGGAAAACTCATATCTAAATAACTCATACATATATAACATAAAAATTCAATTTTTTAACAAAAAAGAATTTTTGTCAGAAAAGTTACAGTCTTTTTTCGACTACTTATCTCTATTTTAACATAATATTATTACAACAGTAATATATATGATATACTTAAAATAACATTTGACAAATATAAGCACAGTTTTACCGACAAATAAAGTCGGATTGTATATTAGGATATACAGCCTCCATTATTCTAATGTAATGAATTATTAACTTATTTTGTGGCACTAATATAAATATAATATACACATCTGCGCGACTTCTTTCCTCATTATTAAATATATATATATTTAAGTATTTAATAACTGAAAATACTAAATAGTCTTTCTTACAAAAATTATATTATCAATATCCAAATTAATAATGAATAATGGGGAATATTATCTCACAAAATATTTCTATAAAATAGTGGATTAATTGTAATACTATTTTATACAAAATAGTATTATCCAAATAATACAAAGGATTGCTAAATTAAATATTGAATTTGCAAATGGTATGTACATCTATTCTTCTTGCTGCCAGAAAATAATTTATATAATCCAATAAACTGCAATGCATATGACGTAAGTACTGTATGTTCAATACGTATAAAAAAACAGCCTCTAATATTAGTCTATATATTAAGTGTCATTTATCTTAATAGCGTGATAACATCAGACTATGTGATGCATCAATAGTCTATTTTTTTACATTCGTAGAAATATTTATATTTATAATCAATTAAACTTATTATTAAAAAATGGCATTTTTAGAAAAAATTTAGTAGCAATATAGTCAATAAAATCATTGGCAAACAAAATCTTTATCATCAATAACTCATAAAGCATGCAAAGTATGTTTCATGTGATTCATTTGTGAGTATAACTCTTCTTATTATGTGCCTGTAGACTATACAATTCATAAAGTTAATCCAAGCTACAACTCTTTGTATTGGAAGACTCAATGCAGATGCTATGATATTTTGTGTTATTTTAATTTATCGTAAAGTATTTTATGTGACAGTAATATGAAAGGCACTGAGGCTAAGAGTTTCAAACTCATAATATTAAGCTGAAGCATTTGATAATCATCTATATTGTAGCAAAATCAAATATATGTTATTTACGAAATTGTGATTTATCTTCCCTACCTAAGTACTAAATTTCAGACACTTCCAATAGCAGTCTGCAATTGCAGCAAATTAAAAGTAATATTGTACAAAAATTTTGAGCTATATTCAACTTGCATTCGATATATCGATATCTATGGTTTCTTCTTTAAGCAATGCTCGTTTTTCCTCCTTCGCATTGTTCTGTTTTTTACCACCGCTTTTACGCTTGCCCCTATTAAGTACACCATTTTCGTCATCCATCATGCGTAGAATTTGCGTCTGATCAGAACTTTCTATGGGTGCTATCGAGATATCGCGTACGGCACGGAATTTACCACAGTTATTTAAATGTTCGTTCTCCAAACGGAAAAAGTTCCATACAAATCGTCTAAAAACAGTTTTATGATAAAATAGAAAGATGCAAAGAAATTTTCAAATAAATTCAAAAAGTATATTTACCTAAAGACCTCAAGAGGTGCCACGATGGAAGTCATTAAGTCGCTAGAAATGTATTTGCATTCAACAAGAACAAAGCTTGCAATCCATACAAAACGTAGTATAAAATCTTCGATTATTGCAAAGTAATAAAACCACTGAAATACATATAAAATATATAAAATATAAAATATATAAATAACAAATTATATATAAAATTAATACTTTTTTCATTGCCAAATACGTTACAATACGTTGTAAGTCAAATACGTTTAATATACATTTTACTTACAGATGCCGAATAAACCACTTCCTCACGCAGAAAACGATTTTCGCCGGCGTTACTGTCTAAAAGGCCCCAATCCATCTTGAGATCCCATGTGTATGAATATATCGAATTAATAAGGCAACTACATATCCATAACCATAACCATGGATTCTCCCATTGACTTTTATATTCCACTGAAAGTATGCACACATCGTTTCTATATTAATTTTACAAACAATTAAGAACTTTAAAATTTAAAGAAAATTTAAATAAAAATTTTGATAAAATTATAAACATACAATCATTTTGTATAAAAATCATATTCACAATGTCATCATCAATGCCAGAAGGCCGTCCAGAGCGGGGTTGATCCTCCATGTTGAAATTACCATTTCGAAATCTGCCAAACCACTTTTTGACTGTTCGGAGAGCAGGAGCGCGGTCTAAATAAACGGTTTGAATATTTTTTTTGTGCAATCCCAACACTCATGCCTTTCCGAAATTCATATAACATTACATGCTGCAAATGCACCTTTTCGTTCTCCATTTTTAATGATTTCTCTTATGCACAAATGGACTTATCTGAACAATGTTTGACGCTAAATTGACATAAGACAACGTCATCTATTCGGTGTAAGCAACAATTACCACACGAAAACAATAGACCTCCGCCATGCAGTAACTTAATGCCATCTATGAAAATCGGGCACGAACTTATGCAATCATCCAATATAAAAATCATATTTAAATTCTCTTCAAATTAAAGTTAATATATATGTATATTTGTAAAAACATACATTTCTAAAAGATTTTAATGCAAATGAAATTTACCTGCATAATAAGTGTATAAAGTATTAGCTGCAACGACGAGAAAAGTTGTAGAATACTTTCCAGCGTTCACTAAATGCGGAAAAGCTTCTTTGGAGTCTCGGTATCGACGAATGCATTGCGCGAAGCGAAACCACGCGGGTAGGCAATTTACGATAGGTCTGATAACGAGAGAGCCAGACATACATTGCGTAGTGTCGCCTGCCTCTAACCAGTCACCGTTCATAATATAAAAGCATATTAAAAAATGAAAGTCCAAGAATGCAGTCGCCAAACTGTTGAATTGATCTGCCAACCAGAAATCAGCAAAATTGACGTACGCAAACGGTGATATTAAAACGCGTCCCTAAAATACGCACAAAAGACTATATTCAATTTTTGTTATTCATATAATGAGAGAGAGAAGCAATGTTGCACGAATTATACTTACTATGATTTTCAACAGCCAGAAACGAGCTTCATGGCGAAAAATCTTAATTGGATTTAATAGAAACGTCAGCATGATGCAGACAAGTACTAATGGATTTATGTACGGTGGAATGCTTAGACTTGCGCTGTATAAAAAACTTAATAGGCTAAGCGTCCAGACAACTCCGAGGACAGCGGCTAATTCCATGAGGTGCTGCTCCGAAAGGTGATTTCGTGGATCCAGCTCGAATATCAAAACGTGATTGACACCAGAAGATCTCCATCCATAGACGTTAATTCCAATAAGAAATAAAAACTCGATAATAAGGAATGGACCTCGATATAGTCTAAATGCAATCTTCAAATTCTCTCCACTATCATGGAAAATCGCTGAAAATAAGGAGATTTTGAATAGTGAAACTGTAAATACATGGTAACTCTTTTATAATATATAAATGTTATGTACGATACCTGAAAGGACGACTGCAATAGATAGAACAATGAAACTTCCGGAAAATAAACCAACTTTGAAAGTAGTCCATGGACTTTGATGCTCGCCAAGCGGTGGTACCCGAAGACGTTTCATTGCACGCTGCCGATCACCACCTTCAAGGTCATTTGTTACTGTGGCTTCTGTTTCTTGTATTAATTTGTCTATATCTTTGGACGTGTAAAAATGTGACGTCTCTACACATTCAAACCTCCATTTTGAACCAGCGTCGACCGATAGCAGCTGAAAATATTTTTAATGCATTATGGAGAAATTAGGACTTGAACACTATATAATAAAAGCACAAATCATTAGACAATTACTGGCTTTTACTTGAGTAATACAGGGGGAATATAGCTATTATATCATATATATAGCAGCTGTTTCTTGCACCATTATTTTTCAACTATGGGAAAAAATGGTAATAATATTGAGATATGTAGTCTCTGAAATTACACAAGCTGTGACTAATAAGTTTTAAATTACAAAAAACATGCAAATATTGCAATACAAATACCTTGTCATGTTTCTTGAGAATCTTGCGAAATCCAGTATGATTAAGGTTTTGATAGTTTTGAAGGAGGATTAAAGAGAGATAAAATTCTGAAAATGCAAGTTTTAGATCCCTAAGCTTTCTGGTAGACAAAACTGGTTTCACATTGGCCTTTCCTTTGTTCTTTCCACTTCCTTGTTGCAGCTCCAATGCAGTTTTCAATTCACTTTGCAGTGCTGCATATTTGCGGGTGGCTTCTGCCAATTTTTCTAGAATATAAATAAACAATAATTAATATAATTATTCATAGAAAAGTCGCAGAATTATGAAAAACAATATTAGAGCAAAAAAACTTACCTGAATAAAATGTATTTATCTTTTTTAATTCACGATCACAGAATGTAAAAAATACTTCATCAAATGAGGCAAAATGACGCGATATCACCTCTGGTTCTACGCTTTCATCTGAAGGTGCCTCTTCCACTGCTGTATAAAGCATAGCTTTCATTTCCTGCAAGATCAAGAAAATAGTTAGAAACAAGTCTATGTAGTAATATCTAAGATTTGATTTTGACAAGTTTGCTTCACAAGTGCATTTTATCGCTTCATTAATCGCAGTATAAACTTAAAATATCTGTATTTAAATTATACCTCATAGCTAATATATTGCTTACGCCACTCTGGCGTAATGTGTGCAGATAAATGTTCTGCAAACTTCATGTTGACTTATGCACAGTAGTTGCACTAATCTGTAAAAAAAAGATATGAGAATAATATTATACACACGAAACTCAAGGTAACAAATACTAAATAATAAGAGGAATCATCGATATAAAGTGCGTACCTAGAAACTGATGAGCTCTGAAACTTGCTTAGTACTCGCTTAGACCGATCTAGATCCTGAGGAAGGTTATAAATGACGTTTATAACAAACCGAGGCACTTTGTCGGCTGCGGCAGATCAAACGCTTTATCAAATGCTACTGTTTGGCGTGATAAATATTTAAGCGACCGTAAGAGATAAAATTATTTGGCGTTCGCCAGCGAGAGCAATCTGCGACTGCCAAGAGAATTTCTCTAACCCGTCTTATCACGAGTTCCATTAACCAAGTCGCTGATTGAGCTAACCGGAGTTCTTGGAAAATCACGCGGGAGCTTCTCACGCGTACAGACAATTATAATAATTATACTTCTCACAGATCGATTTGTCATATGATCGCTCATGAGACAACTCAAGAGAATGTCACATGCAATTTACATGCGTAGTACTCGAAACTCGAAATCTTATCATTCTCGGTTTTTACAGCTTACTGCAGTAATGTTTCTGTAGCGAGGATAATATAAAAGCATGCAAAAATTGGATATACACATTGGATTAATCATCAGCTATATGTATATGATAATAATCTTTTAATGTGTTTTTATATAATTCTGAATTATTATCTTTGTATTTATTTTTTCGTTTCCTCTGTCAAAATATGATACAACAGATCAGAGAAAAAGATAGAGATTCCAAAAGAAATGATATATATTATCAATTATATATTTATATACTATCGTATCAGTTCTATTATCTATAGTAATATCCCTATTATGAATTATAAAATCGTCGGGATTAATGTCCTTATTGTGAAATTTCCCTTTGTTTCAAAAAAAACGTATACTCCATTTCTTACTACTTTCTTTTGAAATGTCTTCTTTGTTACAAATACATAATATTTAAACTGCGCAGGTTCTCGAACAGTTGTTTGTGTTTATATTATCAGTACGTTCTCCGGCACGGCAAAGTTCATCGCAAGGAGTGTTTCAATCTTTTTGCTGCAGTGTGTAACAGAGTCTAACTGTGATATTTTACAATCGTAAAGGTAACTTTATTGTTACAAGTGACTAAATTCTCTCTCTCAATTATTTTAAAGAAATATTTTATATACATGCTTTATTTTTATAACTATCTATTTATTTTTATAACTTTTATCTTTCTCTGCACAAGTCTAATCTTGTATTGCATTTATCAAAATATCCATCAAAGAGATATAAAAGGTTTATATCTATATAAATAATAGCAAAGTATATAAAGTTTGCATTTATATATTAATTTAAAAAAAGGATACATTTTTTTCGACTAAAACATTAACAATAACATATAATTAATACTTGTATCTTTCCTTTCAGAATTGCTTCCATATTGAAAACGGAGAATAGATATAACTCAAATGCATTTTAATATGCAGTTTCTACTGTTATTACCAATTATTTTAAATATCATAAATATCAGTACAGCATGGCGTACTTTCTTGAGAGGTCGGAGCAAATATGGCAATTTAGGAGAGCCAATTTTATCTTCTAAAACATATGTGCTTCCTGAGGAACAATGGTTCACGCAATATTTAGATCATTTTAATCCAACTGATGCTCGTGTTTGGAAGCAGGTACTATATATAATAAAAGGTTTCATTATCATGTATTTCACTTGCCAGTTCACATTAAGTTTTATTATCTCTTCAAGTAAACTTTGAGAGGATTACAGTTAATTGCATTGATTTGTTACTTCTGAATAGAAATATTTTGTCAACTCCAATTTTTATAAACCAAATGGCCCAATATTTTTAATGATTGGAGCTGAAGGTATAGCAAATGCTAAATGGATGGTAGAAGGTCAATGGATTGAATATGCCAAAGAGTTTGGGGCAATGTGTTTTTATCTAGAACATCGTTATTATGGAAAAAGTCATCCTACACCGTACGTAGAATACAAATAATTAAATGTAAGAGAAAATTATATTTTAGAAATTTACATTATGTTGCAAATATACTTGCAGGGATCTTAGCGTAAAGAATTTGATATATTTAAGCTCACAGCAGGCATTAGCAGACTTAGCATACTTTATTCAAAATATTAATATTGGATACAAATTTTCAAATGAGACAAAATGGATTGTATTTGGAGGATCATATGGTGGATCTCTAGCTGCTTGGATGCGCGCTAAATATCCTCACTTAGTACATGGAGCTGTGTCTACCAGTGGACCATTGCTAGCGCAGATAGATTTTCAAGGTAATATATATATAATTTTAACTCTAGTATTATTTTAGATATATGTATATATAAATGATTTTTTGTATTACAGAATATTTTGTTGTTGTTGCAAATGCTCTGAAAGATTATTCTCAAAAATGTATTGACACAGTAGCAGAAGCTTACAGAGAATTAAATATATTATTGCATCATGTTGCTGGTCAACAGAAAATAGAGAAAAGATTCAAGTAAGTAAAGATATAGAATGTTGATAAAGTGCAATGTACTGTTTTCTCATATGTCATATTTCACAGATTATGTGACCCAATTGATCCTGGACATACAAAAAGAATGGACATTTCCAATCTGTATGAAACATTAGCGAGTAACTTTGCTGGCATTGTACAATATAATAAGGATAATCGCCAAAGCTCCCAAACTGCAAATATCACTATTGAAACTGTATGTGATATATTAGTAGATGAGAAGATAGGAATACCTATCGATAGACTGGCTTACATAAGCAACATGATGTTAAATACCACTAAGGAGAAGTGTTTGGATTATAGATATGGCAAAATGATTCGCGAGCTTCGAAATATCACTTGGACTAGTGAACAAGCAGAAGGAGGTAACATATTTAAATTCATTAGATATGAATTTAATTTTTAAATTATTTCATTACTGCAAACTATATTTATATAATGCTACACAAATCATAAATGATATTTGTAGGACGTCAATGGATGTATCAAACTTGTACAGAGTTTGGATTCTATCAAACTTCAACTGCGAAACCTAACTTGTTCAGTGATACCTTTCCAGTAAAATTTTTTATACAGCAATGCATTGATATTTTTGGACCTAGGTTTGTTTCTCTATTTAAATTATATTTCGAATGTAATTCACATAAAAAAATGTTAAAACAAAAGAAAATTATTTCTCTTGCAGATATGATATAGATTTATTGAAATCTGGTGTCACTCGAACAAATATTTTATATGGTGCGTTAAATCTACAAGTGACAAATGTAGTATTTGTACATGGTTCTGTTGATCCTTGGCATGTACTAGGTATTACAACATCCTCCAATACGCAAGCACCTGCTATCTATATCAATGGTAAGTATAATATACTACAGATAATCATTATATGTGCATATATGTGCATTATTTAATTTATTAATTTTTTTTAAGGCACTGCACATTGTGCGGATATGTATCCTTCATCAGAAAATGATATGCCTCAGTTGAAGGAAGCTAGAATACAAATAAAAGATTTAATCAAACAATGGTTAAAAAGTTCATGAGATACACACATACCATCGTGTGATACATACACATTACATATGTAAGAATGATAAACAATATATAACGTATAAATATAGAAATCATTAAGAAAAATGTCAAAATTTCTCAAAATGTTTTAAATGATTATTAATATCACGAAATTTCTTTTTCTTTTATTATTTTTGTTACTTTTCTCATGTAAAATGAAAAACATTTATATATGTATATATATGAAATATGTATATGTATTTATATAAATATGTTTATTTTCTCTCTAAATTCTTATACAATGTGATATTAAATCTAATAATATTCGCATACATGTAATATACGAATGCGCGCTAATATTATTTATTATGTACCATGTTTGAGTGACAAAAATGCTTTTTCAATAAGTTAAACAAGTTTGCCCCAAATGGCACTATCATAATTTATTGCGATAAATAGAATCATGGAAATGCATGTACAATGTCATACCACAAGTGATTATCTCAATCAATAAATAAAAAGATACTGCACAAATTGTATTATTTCTTAATTATATATTAATTCAATAACTTGATAGATATATGCTCCATAGATAATAACTATAGTTAAATGTTACGTATTTATATAATACAAATTCTCGGTAGAGAAAGTAGCATATATTGGAGGTATAACAGCGATCCACGAGACATTATACATAGGCAAATACATAGTTAGATATGTCTTCGTGTCCTCGCGTTTACTTGCATAGACATGCACAACAGTTATTATAATATTTATTTTACTCCTAAATGGATAACATCGGCCTTTCCTTAATGATACTTATACATACAGTATTCCGTTTTTCTGGAAACAGTAATCCGTTTAAAGTGAGGCCAAGGTACCCATAATACAGATATAAATTTTGCCAATCCGATTTTTCGTTAGACAAATCTTTTCAAATGTGTAAGAAATTACACATAAATCTTCAATCTTACAATAACTTACCTTTAAGCGTTAAATTACTATATGTCCGTTTGATCGCGTTATTTTATATTACTTTTGTGCTTTTTGGCATATCTCCTGACCAGCTTATACTACCCTCCTTACGACGAGTAACAATTCATTGTTCTTAGTCTTTAAGTTACAATGTATATAATATTTACACATTTCGCGTATATATAAAATAGAATGACGATAAATAACATTTATAACATAATAGAACAATATATGTAGGATCTATTTCGGCTATTTTTGTTCTCAATTTCGTTACTTAGGTACAACTTGTTAGTGGAAGATTCGCTGTGCTCCCTTATTTAAGGAAGATTTTTTGACCCGCGACAGAGTTGTGAAAATGTTCACTACAGTCTCTCTACATCTTCTACAAATCATCATTCACATGATCGCAAATAATGATGTAGCGAATACGTTTCAATGATAAAGTGTTTTATAGTTTTACCTTCCGTTTAATATCGGTGATGGGATTGCGATTGTCTCCAATCAGGTGTCGCGTTGCCGTGGTGATGATGATGGTGATGATGATGACGCTTCTTGTCGGAGATGCTGGCGTGCTTGCTCGATGGGTAAGCGGCAACATCACTGACGACTAATTCCGAGCCGTCGCGCTCGGTGTTATTGCTACCGCGAAAGTTCTCTCGGTATCCTGGTTCATCCAGGGTCTCCTTCCGACGAAGCGGCGGATGGCTGGTCTTGTGACCGGCGGTCTCGTGCAGATTCTCCCAGGCTTGACGATAATAACGATTCAGACCTCCTCGACTTTCCGAGGAACTGCTATCGAAACTGGCAACGGTGTTACAATCGGGCGATGCACGATGACGATAGTGTTTACTGCTTCTTCCGCGGTTTCTAAATAAAGATAGAAGAATGCGTTAATAACTTTTTTCTATATGTCGAATTATCAGATTTTAATTACATTAATTCCTATTGATAGCACTAAACATATGTAGGCACACATAGATAGGCAAAGCGTTATGTGTAATAGAAAAATAATCGGTCCAATCTTTCGTGTGAGATTCATTATCCATTCACATATACAGTTCACAATGGCATGCATTTTGTAAGCACAAAGTTTGTACGTTCTATTAATGAAAATAATGAATAAAACTAAGTATTGATCCGCCTGAGAGAGTGCACTTTTTATATTAAATACAAGTAAAAACTCGAAATATATATATCTCTTATTACAGCCTGAAACAATTTCCAATTTGCTGACAAAAGGATGGAGATAAACAAGCAGAAAAGAGAATAAGTACTATATATATTAATATAGTAATTCTGACAGATATATTTAAAATCTTGTGAATATCGAATGATAATATATAACGCAGATATCTGCGTTATATACTATATTCAACAATATACTAGTGCAATTTTAAAGAAATGATAATGTAGTTAATAAGGGTGCAGGCGAGAAAAAAAAGGAATACAATATGTACACAATTATATTCTGCCGCGATTACTTTGTGCAGTTCGATATTCAGGATTTCTAGATCGTAGTCAATTTTGCCTCATCTTATAAATTATCTAAATGAGACAAAAAAAAAATAAAATCGTTTTCCAGAGAATACAATGGACTATGAAGCACTGTAAAAGTATTTAGAATTTACTTACTTAATTTTAAATTATATACACTTTAACTTTTCAAATTTTTTAAACATTATTTTAGATTTAAATCATATTTATGGAAACCTTTATGTTTAAAACATATGACTACTTTGTAGAACCCTTGAGTACGCGACGAAATTTTTTTTCTGTCAGAATGGGGTGTAATTATGGTGCGTCTGCGTGCGTGCAACGCACTATAAAGGCATCTTCTATTCCGTAGGCGTGATGTGACGTGATGCGACGTGATGGCAAAACGAGCTATCGCTAAAAGAAAGTGCTCAGTAGAAACCTTGCTCTCGTTTACCTTGACTAGTATCACTCGCGAAGGGTGGCGCGTGGTAGTTGGTGGTGGTACGTGATGATGGTTGATGTGTTGGTGGGCGGTGGTTGCGTGGAGGGTTGGGGTGGTAGTAGTGGTTGCGGGCTTTGTTAAGGGAGCGGTTCTTTCTCTTTTTCTTTCTCTCTCTTTCTCTTTTTCGACGGCGGAGGCGAGAGGGAGGGGCGGCGATGGCAGTCTACAGAGAGGGATTCGAGAAGTAGCCGGCACGATGAGCCGCCGACAGGCTGAAGGAATAAGGATGATCGCTACCGCGGCGAGCCGTGAGGTCGCGACGCCCCAGGTGCTGGTCGGGGAAGGGTAGCGCGAGTAGCGTATACCAACGCGAGGGCATTCCGGTGTCGCCCCTCCCAAGGCCACCACTACCGCCACCCCTCAGCGCACCAACCCCACCGAGCCCCCTGCGGCGCCTTCCTCTGACGCTGCCGTTGCCGCTAACCACCGCAACGCATAAATGGACTCAGTGTTAATCGTCGTCGTGGCGGACAAGACAATCTACGGGACTCGCGCGCATCTCTCTTACGTTACATGTTAGGTCTCGCAATGTGTTTACACCAGTGTTTCTCAACTTTTCCTTCAGTCATGGCCACTTTCCGAATAATTTTTATTTTAATCATTGGTCCTCGTAGTCATTGTCAATTGGCAAAGAAAATTTTTGCTACTTCGTTAAAAAATTTACTATGACTTTTGCTATTTTGTCTTTTACTTCACTTATATGTACATACAAAATGTGCCGTAGATCTTCGAGTAGCCATGATTCACGAAGATTCACTTTGAGAACCATTGGTTTAATGAACAATAATAAATTAAATAAAATTATTACGAATCAATCAAGGAAAAAATAGGTCTCCTTGCAAAGCATAATCTATGTTTAAAGTAAGTTTGGGCTAAATTACAGGAAGCTTATGATCAATGAATGAAGGGGCGAAAGGGGCGTACTGTTATTTCTGCACGATTTTATCCACGATAGTATTGCGGAATGTTAGAAAATTCGTTATTTAAGAAACATGTACACGCGACTTCATCGCACAAGCGAAATCATCCTCTATGAGAGGAGAAATACAATACAGCATGTATGTACGTATTACAAGTTAGGAAAAAGATAGAGTGGTAAACGAATAGAAGATAGAAAATAGATCAAACAAATACAAAGTAAGCATTACAATGTACAATCCGGTCGAACATCGTCTATGTATATCAGAGTGCGTTATATCATTAGAGACAGTAAAGATTCGCGGAAATGGAGGCGCGGGCAATAATCCTCGAAATTGGATAATCACTCAAGATGGCTCGATAAGACATTATTTTTTACCTGCGTATGAGTATCACCACTGTTGTGATCACCGCGGCGAGAAACACAAAGCCGCCGAACACTCCTAGGGCGATCACAGCACCTAGATTCAACTTGGCTTGATGAGCGCCGCTAGGCTGCTCATCTACCCGGAAGGGGCCGGAAGGTTCCGGTACGCCTGCGCCGATCCCCGCTTGAGCATGATCCACACCGCTTCCGGAGATCTCGTTGTCTTGCGGATGATCGCTACCGGCGTCGTTGAGTACCGATGAAGGTAACGTGGGTTTGTTTAGGTTAACGCTCGGTCTCTTCGAGATAGTCTCCCTCACTGTAGCTGGAAGTTCCGCGGTATTAGGCACTCTTCTAGTTGGCAACGAAGTTGTGCTAGTAGTGGTTGTTGCCGCGCTCGTCGTGGTCCTAATCCTCGGGGTGAGATACGGCCGGACTTTCGGTGTCGATGACCGTATCGTCGCTCGGGTAGAAGTGCTCACGGTTGTCCGTGATTCCTCTGACAGGAAAGAGTTCGTATATTAAATATACATTATATCATATATCATTATCTTCATTATAAAATTAAATACCTATGCAAGTGGGTGCGACATGATCGTACAATCCGGTAGCTAAGCAGAGTATTTGCCGGAAACCAACAAGCCGGTAACCCTTCTCGCACGTGTAGGTGACGATGCTACCAACTAACAGACTTCGATTGAAGTTATTCTTCAATGGGACACTTTCACTCTCGTCGATCTCATCTATTTGGATATAACTGTGCGCGACTATAGCCGGTGGGTCGCAAAGAATCGGCTCACATCGCGGCGGTGGTCCATTCCAACGTTCGTCGATATCACAAGTCAATCGGGCGCGTCCTGCGATTACAAAAATCAGCTTTATAAATGTTTTTTTTTTATATATATATATATAAGACGTTCGCTAAGTCTCTTTTGAACACACTGTGCATAATTAAGGATATCGAGTTGCGGTTAACTCGATAATGCTTACCAGTCATCTCGTATCCCTCTTCGCAGGAGTAAAGTACTTGGCTGAGATAATTGACGGTATTATTGATAAGCGTATATCCACCGTGTTTTATGCTTGCAGGATAGCCGCATTCAATACCTAAAACGACCAGAGCGCATTACGCTGTGAGTCACGCAATGATTTCGTCTCAGTACGGTTGTATAACAGTCATGTTCCTTACTTTTGCACACTGGCGGAAACTCGTTGTAGAAACCAGTGTCGAGGCAAGTACGGGTCGCTGGTCCAATCAGAAGGCTACCCACGTTACAACTGTATTCCACCGATGCCCCGACTTCGTATACGTTGCCGGGAGTGCTGCTTGACGTGGTAGTTACCGCCATCGTGGAGTTTGGCGGCTGCTCGGGTCTGCCGCAAGCTTGTGGTTCTAAAAAGAGCAAAACAGTATTTTTATTATCTTAATCAATAAAAATCATTTTTAATAAGATAATATATGTAAGCTTAATAGTGAAATATTGAATGTAAATAACAATGGATTGGTAAAAGAATTTAAATACAAACAAGAGATATGAATTTAAAAAAAAAAAAGATTTGTTTTAGGAAAATTTAATCGATCAAAAAATTGCAACTAAAGTTCCTTCACTAGAATTTTCTATTTCTCGATATACGAGCTTCATCATTTTGGATTTTCATGTAATATGTTATTTTAAAATCAAATGCTACAAAAAAAGCTTTTATCGTACATTGTATGGTTTTATCATTTGATTAAACATAGATATAAGATCTAAAGCATAGCTTAAAAGATATAAGACTATGAACGTATCGCAAGGAAGATGATACTTACGATGCTGACAGATGAAATTAAGTCGCGCTGTGCAAGGTGTATCGGACCAAAGCCAACCTCTACTACCATCGTACCGAGCACAGTCCTCTTCAGTGCCCTGCGGTAAGCTCCAAAACGAAACAGACACTTCCTCGCCGCTTCCGGTCCACCTCCACAACGTCCGATCTTTCTGATCCCTAACTGCGCCCATCCAATATTGGCTGGATGTGTCGCTCCTTTATCGATGATCAAATAAAATTTCTTATTATTTTTCAAATCTAATTTTAATTATTTATTTAATTTTTTTATTTAATCTTTTATTTTCCACGAAAAATATATTCTCTAACATATTATTATTAACAAGTAAGAATTTTTTTAACTCTTAATTTATATATATGCGCATATTATGACATATTTTTATAGATTTTCTCTATATTAGTTATATGTAAATTGTTCAAATAATTAATTGTTGAATTTGTTATACATCAATGTTTTCATTAGTTAAATATTAAATAATTATAATGCTTCATAAATATACACATTTAAATTAAATCTTATTTCTAAACCATTATAAATTTTCTTCAATGTGTAAATATAATAAAAGAAAGTATATTTTAAATTATTCGATAATGATCGATTATGCATACAATATATGAATTATTGATTTTAAAAATAGCTTTATGTCCCGAAAGTTCTGAAAAACGAGTTTATGTAGAAATGTTTCCATATCAGCTAATTCTATTAATGCTACTGAATGTATCTTTATATGTTTCTTGAAAAAATAATATTTTAGAATATACTTTTTCAAAATGACTAATCCTTTTAAATGATTTGCGTCGTGTTACCTGTGCCGTCTCCATAGCTCCCACGAGATGAATCCTTGTAGAGCAGGATTGCTTTCATCCACGAGGGTGCCGCCTCGTGAGCGACAGAAGGCCAAAGCCTCTCTGAATATCAGCGGGTGACGATTGTAAAATATATAACACTTGCCATTGTAAGTTGCCGTTGATCCTGGTGGCTGATCGCGGAATTGAGGACATCTTTCGATCGGCAAGGCCTGAATTCAGTTTTCACGTAATAAATCGCCATTGTACGAAAGAAGAGAGAAAAATGGATTTTTTTTCAGAGCCTGAATTGTAATTTTAATTGTTTTATTATACAATTTCTGTGAATATACCTGATCGGTGTAGACGAACGCCTCGCACAAAGACAGCTGCACGAGAATATCGCTGGATGATGCAGTTTCTAGATGCACCGAGACAAAAGCACCGGGCATCGGCGGATTGCAAGGTAAGAAAAGGGGCTGTCCTTCCTCTAGAGTTCCGGTGAATCGATTGCAAATGGGATTCGTTCCTAAATCTGGTCGATTATTACCGACTCGAACGATGATAGTGCCGGGAACATCATCGCCTACAAATCGATTAACGATTTACTTGTTAAAGCTCATTGCCAACTTTAATTGTAGCATTTTAATTTTATCTCGAGTATTTTAAATGCTATAAAAGATATCGTCGCAAATTATTTATATATTATATGGTAAAATACACTGGTGCGGATTATTTTTTGAATCAAAATAAAAATAAGTTAACGGAAACGTTTCACTAAAGGAGAATTCAAAAAATTATAGATTAAACGATAATCATAATTATTACAAGTTTATTCATAGACTATCCGTGTCTACACGATTAAACATTCATGATATAGAAGCTTAATCTGTGTCAGTGTTATAATAGTATGCAACTAATACTTATTAGATTTAAATTAAAAAACTTCTCGTTAGATGAAACATGACTTTCAAATAATATTGTGTAAGGGAGAGCAGCTTATGTGTGTAGTGATGGTGATGATATACAACTTATAGTTCTAGTTTTATTTCGTTATTCGTTATTTGTGTCATAATTTTCTATTTAAATGTCTACATATATACCTATATATCTATAGTCATTAATTAATAAATGATAAATTCATCTTTATCTCACTCTGTGTATAAGCTTAAGATATAAATTGCTACCAACGTATTTTTATACTTATATGATTTTTTCTTATTTTGTAATTATATACAATTATATCTTTTTTAATACATTTATATTGGAACATCTAATCACAGATAGATAGAACTTTAATAAAATTGCCTTAAAAGTAACTAAGACGTGAGATTTCAATTAATTAAGTATAATTAATTTTACATCTCCTTTCATTTTTTAATTGAATTCTATTTTTTATGTGTTCTAATGACAGTCTATAAGTAGAAATAATATGATATGTTATAGAAACCGGATGAGAGAGATATCGTACAAAACGATATATGTACTTTTATACCGTCAAAATAGATTTTAATCACACTGTATTTACTCGAAGTAATGTAAATCGAGAACCATTGGTTTGATAGAGACTTTTATTTATGGTTTAATTTAAAGGGTAGATTTCACGCGTGCAGCGGCTATCGTAAATATAGTATTTGGGCAGATAAAATCATCTCGTGCAATCCGGCGCGCGAGCGCTATATCTTCTGACCCAGAAAATATCCCGACTGTGACCGACTATGGACAATCGTCCGTCTGCCTGTTTATAGTTGTAAATCGCGCAATTACTAACTTTTCATGTTTTGTTCCTGCAATCATGAATACAGATTTGAACTAGCGCGACAGTCTCTCGTTCGGTAAAACTCGCATTAAAAGATACGTACACGCGGCACGTACGTACAAAACTTTCTTATTGCACGTGCGAGCCGCTATTCTCGCCTCTAATGAGTGCGTGAACATGTAGCGCATGAGCGAAGGGGGAGCAATGTAAGATAAAAGAGAAACTCTAACATCGGGAACAAATTAAGGAACTATCGTGTTTTTCGCCAAGTGTCACGCATAGCAAAGAAGCGAAAAAAGTCCGTACATCTATAAAAAAACACTATCTTATTAATCATGATTATTGGTTGCTAATTACGCCCATTAATTATTAATTTGATCATACATTTTATCCAGCTCTATTCTTCACTATGGTATTTCGTGTTATAGATGTGCATTGGTCGTCAAAATTTTTTCAGGAACTCAATTCTAATTTTTTTTTTTTGGTTAAAATTTAATAGAAAAGTAAAACTTAATCAGGAAACTATTTTTCGCTAAAATGCATAAAGTTTTGTTTTTTATTTGTATCGATAACACTTAATTCAGCAAAATTTCTTGCATTTTAATCGCTTAAAAAATATTAATATTTTAAAATTTTCAAAGAAAAAAAGAGCGTCACTCAGATACGCCTATAAGAAGCGTCGTATATTCCGATATTATTTAATTTAATTTTTTAAATATATGTAGCTCATATTATATATGTAGCGAATGACAATGTAAACGTACATAAGCGTCAATAATGCACAAAAGGTGTACAAGAAATTTATTATCAAAATTGAACGATTCGATTCTTTTTCGCCGCTGAGGCATAACGTGAAAGTTGCTCTTTCGCGTAGAGGAATCGAATTGTAATACGCTGTCTGTTTAATTATACGTGGCCGGCTGAAGTCGGCACAAGAATTATCGTCAAGTATCTCGTCGGTGCTGGGCCGTGACTAAACAGCTGCTTGAGATGGGCCACATTATACCGGTCATTGTTCTCTATGCAGCCCGCGCGTATTTATCCGCGAGCATACAAAAGCCAATCGTCAAAATTATCGCACTTGAATAATTCATTTCCCCGAGAGATTATGCAGATTATCCGGCGGAATTTGCGCGAACGACACGGAAGTCGTTAACAATGATTACACCGAGATTAATACGGTATTAGATGTTCACTTTGCTCGCGTGATGATTACTCAAAGTTATCTTTATCGCTTTCAGATACGTAATTAAGCGGGATCTTGTTAATATACCGGGTAAGAGACTCGCCAAAGGATGGAAATGTTTTTACTCTGAAAGGAACGACCGCTAGAAACATTTTTCCAGGAAATGCAATGAAACATTCTTGAGTCCTGTCCCGTTTGCGCGAATAACATGTCTTCAGTGTGCCGACGATGCCATTATTATCAGTCGTTTAACGGTGAAAGTTTACCCTCGTTCAACTAGATGACATGAAGCGAATAAACTTTCGAAATGACAACACGAGTTTTTAAACGTCGTTTAAAAGAGATCAATTAATGAAGAAGAAAATCAAAATTTTCGAAATTTTATCGAATTTTAGCGAAAGTTTCGTGCTTTTAACGTTGCATCAAAAACCCTCTTCTTTCTGTATATTTGTAATTAAATATTTAATTACGTATAAATATTATACGTATTTTTTCATATACATTATTGTACGCATAATGCATCAACAGATATTATTAAAATAACTATTGAATTCACTTTTAAAAGAAGGAAGTTGTCAAAATGATGAGATGTGATTAGTTTTGAAGTTGAATATCCGCGGTAATTTTCAGTTGATTGATGATAGAGTTCGCGTTTCTTAATAAAACGCTGCTGAAAAATGTATGCGGCGCGTATTGCGGGAGACGTATCGCGATGATTTTCTAACAATTGAAAGTGGAAAGACTCTCACTTTCATCGTGAAAGAGTTTCTAAACGATCTCGCATGCAAGCCCGGGCCTTTGACCGGGTTGGAGAAAAGGGAAGGAAGTGCGAATTTAACGGCTCGCTTGTGAAACGTGATTTTTCCGCGACTCCGTCATCCGTGGACAAGACTCTCGAGCGCGATTTACTTTAACTATCGAAAGCATCACCGGCTCTAGCCTCAGGCGATTTATCGTCCACAATCATAATTTCAGATCGAGTAGTCGTTGAAGCATCAATTTCTTCGAGAATAGATCGCGTCGAGATTTATCACGACCCCAAAACGCGAATAGCTAGTGTAGCATTAAGTAGTTTAATTAAATAATTTAGTAGAGAGTTTAGTTTAATTTATCTATCAAAGAACTACATGTAAAATTTTAAATTATATCTTTTTTTAAACAAAAAGCAAGTTTCAAGAACTAAAAGAAAGCAGAAAGGGAGAGATGCAGCACTGCTATTAGTGTCATCTATATATCTATATTTATATGATTTTCAAGTAGATATCACATAAAAATAAGTTGCTCACTTATAATTTACGTCTGATCTATCATGTTTCATGCAGAGATGGATAACGTCAGACTTCATGCTCAGCTTGTTTTGCATTCGCACTCACTTCTGCGCTGAACAACGCAATCGTAAATTCATCTCGCCGGTAGGAATTACTTCATGTAATTACCGGTGATGCTTATTTATCGATAGAAAGTCGAGAAAACGCTTCATGGAAACGAAAGTACCGGATGACGGACGAGATATTTACGGTATCGCGGGAATTCTATCTCAACAATAAGCCTCGCATTAAAATTCATAATGAGAGACTTTATCTTGACCGCGTTTATCAGCAACAACGTTCATTACAAAACATATCATTTTGTAGCAAATTACAATGCGCGAATAGCACTTTACCGCCGTTTTTAATCGATTTTTTATCGATTCCATCGAAGAGACATAATATCATAATGAGTGTCGGTTTCAATATCCTCGAAAAGAATATCGTGAAGGAAACAGACGCTATACGATTTGATAAACTCATAAAACCATTATATATACGGCAAATGTTCAATTATCGTTGTCATCGAATGATCTCTTTCTTACAATCATTTACCATTTTTTTCATACGCTCAATAATAGATTTTTTAATTCTGTCGCAAATTGTCTCGCTGAAAAGAAACCATTGATTTGTCTGAAGCTATAATTAGAAATAGAGCGAATTCTTACTTAAAGACTGCGAATATTAATTTCCCAGTTGATTGTTTTCTTAATCACCGCTTCATCCAGCATTAAAATTTCTTAATACTAACACATCGATTATTGTATTTTCAATACGTGTTTAACGCTAAATCTAACTATTATTATATATAAAGGGTATAAAAAATATTTTATGAATTAAACCTTCTTTTCTTTAAACGGATTACCTAAGATTATTTGCTTATAATTTGTTTAAATTTATAAGTAGTTAAAATAATAAATATTTTTATGAAATACGCATTAGATAAGCATATTAAATGTTGAATACGACGAACGGAGTTTAAAAATATTTCCTATAATTTGCGAAGTCTTTTATTGCATAAAACAGTAAATTCTCGCAAGCGGCGGAGCGCGAAGAAATATACGGTATTACTTACCGCAGCAAGGTTTGCCAAAGTCCAGTCGCACCAGCTGAACCATATACGGTTCCAATAGGTTCACGTACCACCATGGTCTACGCTCGGGCCTCGTTAGGGTGCAGGTTTGCGGCGTGTAAATCTGACCGCTGCTTCCGTCAACGGCGCGTTGCGGAATTCCGCCCTCCGCGCTGCTGGACTGCATGGGAGCCTTACCACCAGCCACGTTCAGAACTGCGATGAATAATTAATACAATTGATCATCGTGCGTGTTAAAATTGGTGCGAAGTCGGCTATTTCCGTATGTGTGTCGGAAGGTAATTAAACTTTTTCACGCAACGATTGCCGTGAATAAATTCTGTGAGATTAAATATAAAGAGGGACGATAGCATTCTGCGAACTTCCTCATTTTCAAATGCATAATAAAATCCTTCACGAAAGAATATTGAGCACCGTTAACAAAAAGTTGAAAAGTCTTCTCCATATTTTTAACGCGTAACGTTTTGATTAACGAAAAAGATAAATGATAAGTATAAAGTTGACATTTATTATACTGATAATTATTATAAATTATTATTCCTTTTTCTAGCAAACTATTCAAGATACAAAGTGCTCGATTAAAGTTCTGCTTAACAAACACATTGTAATAAAAGACATGAGATTACATTACGCACGATTGAAATATATTAGCCGTTGATTTAACATAAGGACAGCGTGATTATAAAGCAGAAAGGGACGCGACAGATGATTGTACTGGACACGCATGCATCTACGTGTATGCAACGTGTTAGCTTTATTTCTTTTTTCACGTGGAGCGCATACCTCGATGATGCAATGATAATTCTCTGTGAGAAAATTTCTGTAACTCATTGCCATATCTGTCCGATAAAAAGAAGGTCGGCCACCACCGCCGCCGCCGCCGCCGCCGCACGGGTGAATAGCCGTATGGCACGCAGATGCAGACAACGAGCATCGCCGTGGCCGCCAAGTTTTGTGTGTGCAGTAAATGCCGCACATTCGCGAACAAGTTGTTGGCCTTGCGGTAGTTTTACTGTACCGTAACGTGAGAATTTTATTGGTGTTAATACGCCGATGCCGCGGTCTTCGATACGCATTGCCTTGGCACTTGTCTTAATTGTGTCTAATCAAAATCCGATTTAGCGACCGATAAGAGATTCATTCTTCTTTGTAATAGAACTGAGCGCGTTGCGAGAGTTTTACATAGGATAATGATACTTGGCTTCTTTCATAAATAAGTCATTTAATGATTTAGTATCAGCGCGTTTTATTCGACGGTCACTTTACATCGTTATATACGTAAACGTCATTCAATAAGCAATCTATAAATATCTGTACTAGGAGAAAATAAAAAAAGTATTATGTACAAGATGTGTGGATGGGATATCTAATTTAATTATCATTGCAAAATATTTCTCGATTACTTGTGTTGGAAGTACGCAACATCAGAAACACAATGTGTTAATGAATTTCTCATGCATATGTAATATATTCTTCGTGGTCGCGTTGTTTTGAGATACCTCGACGTGTTTCTGCATGCAATCTGTTACCACGGCCCCAAAGTATCTCGCGGAATCTTGCGTGAAACAATTGAGAGATGCACAGACAATACGGTAAGCGCGTCGTATGCAGAAGACCGGTGCACGAACAAAGGATTGTCTGAAAGTCTTTTCATATATATGTACGTCGAGCACATCTCCAAGATAGTCTGATAATAAGCATTGGGAAATAGCGGTCAGGTTTATGTGGGAAGGTTAATCTTTAAACTTAATTGTATTCCGCGTCCCTCTGTAGAAGAAAGTTTAGTGGCCGTTAAAGAAATAAGAAAGTGTCAAGTTGCACAATTGATTGCAGATCAGCCAGTGATTGTTAAATTAGCGTTATTAATAATGGATTAGCATTATTAATAATGGATTGTCCAGATCTCCAGATTTATCCTTTTTATAATAAATCAAGATAAAATAATGCTATAAATTTTTTAATTTGAAATTTAAAAAATTTGCTTTTGTTACAAATATTCTAATTAAATGTACATGTATGTTATTCATGTATTGTAGCTTGAAGAATTAAAATATTCATCGACGCGTGCGTTCGCATCAGCATCTCTTTTGTACGATTACCTTAACGAAGCAATCATGATTCTATCAAGTAGGCGTAGATTTGACACATAAAACGATAATCAATGCATTCTCGACCTAAACCTACATACTGGCTAGCGCCCCCATGAAAGTCCACGCACGTTCCCACAAGACATATACGTATGTTAGCACGTGCCGTGCTTATCTCATAATTTACAGTTATTTCTTATACACGCAAACGCGAATGGTTTTTATGTTACCATATCGTTTCCGTCAGTATCGCGTAACGAGAAATACAGAGAACAGTCCAATAGCCGACATATTTCCGCCGCAAATAATCATAATCATATACAATATTGTCTTCTATTCTAAGATTAAATTATTTATTCCAAAAATTAATTCAATATTCAAATATTTATAAATTAATTTCTTAATTTATAAATTAATATTTATAAAGAGTTATATTAGTTTTATACAATAATTGAGAGAATTTCATAGAATATTAAAAGAAATATATGTAACTCAAGTCAAGAGAATGATAAACATAATATGAAGATCAAGATTTCAAAATTATTAACAATAAAAAATTGATTATAATCTTCAAAATATATTTTGTCCAAATAAATAAAAATGGTAAAAAGAATTTTAAATAAATGATAGAGAAAGAGAGGAAGAAAGAAAGAGAGAGAGGTACGTTATATTTTATTTCGACGAAGGAGTGGCACTATTTTATTTTCCATTATATGCAATATCGTAAGATGTAACGTCCATAAAGCTGCAAATTGCTATTTGCTTACGTCATGTCTATATGACTATTCCATTATTTTTCAATGTTAAGTTCCGACCATGTACGACTTTCCCAGTTTGATCATCGATGCTAAGTATACGTCGACATATACTACTAATCGTTCTCTACACATATCCTTGTATGCCATATTACTGTTATGATGAAAGAATATTAATAAAAATCAACAATGCAATAAAAATACATTCGTCCATAAAATTGCTAAGTTCATATAACTGTTTATAAAATAATAATAATAATAATAATAATAATAGAAGACTCTTTTTCCTCCTCTCTTCCTTTTCTTCCGTATCTTGCGCCTATTGAAATATACATTGCACGATTTAATGCAATCAGGAAGTTTTTTCTCTATTAAATACCGAAAAAGGAAATGTATAATCTTACTTTCGCAAAATGCCATTTATAAATTCTTAAAAAGTTGAAAAACAGATAATATTCTGCCGATAAGCATGGAGTTTATATCTGATTTAAAGTTTTATTATGTCATACACTAGAAAATAATGTTAATAGTGTTAATAGAGTAAATACTGTTCCTTTTCTTTTTTTTTAGTATGACACATCATCTCTTTAGTCTGAATTGTTTTTTCGCGTTAAATTCTGCGGTCTCTTTATACTTTTTATACATCTCCCTTGTGGCGACATCATTAACCGCAAATCAAGCTTGTTCGCAAATGAGTTCTCTATGAAATTATCGTGCACTTATCGTGGAAGGCGAACGAAAAGTACGCGTTTGAAAAGTCAAGTTCACGGACAGCTGCGCAAGTGGCAACTTGCTCTCGCGGTCGGTGGATCACGAGAAACTATTGCGACTGTCTTGGGTAGGCAATCGAGTAATTTCGCACAAACGTTGCTCGCGCCCACGTTTGCCTCACAATCCTCAAAACGACGACGAAAAGATATCCGCGAATATATAATGATTATTATTTTGTGCAAGAAATCCCGCGGCCATTACGTCATCAATTTGTTATACGATATTTCCCTTTGCTTCGAGAAATGAGTATAAAGATTACCACAGAAATGTGCAAGATTCTACTTTATCGAATGGTTGAACCTACACTATTATTCTCAATATAAATATCCAATAAAATTTGTGGATATTCTAATGCTAACAACTTTCAGATTTTTATGAATACACACAACATATATACATACAAATTTTTTAAAGATTGATGATAATTAGCAGTATTATCACGCGAAGGCAGAATCGAGTGCTTGAAAATATTTGGGTTAAGAAATCATTAACGATTTTTATATGAAGACCGAAGTTCGTAAATAGTTTCAAAGACTACGTTCCGCCTTTCTGGTCAAGACAGTTTCACTCACGTCTGTCTGTAAATATATATTTCGTGCATTAAATAAGTTCCTAAGTTCCTAGTTCCTAAGTGCTGGAAGATCACTTTTACCCTCATACAGCGACAATAGTTATTTTGAATGACATACTAATTAAACAGATCGCTCTTGTTTCTCTTTCTAATTCCAGTCAACCCGCCCACATATTCGCGTATATGAAAAATAATATAATATAATATAACTAAAGATATATTTTCAAAGTTTTATTAAATATTTCTCAGAATTGAAAAGACGAAAAAAAAAATATTGGTTTAATCTCATTTTGCCATAATCACGCATACTTTCGTAACAATTTGTTCCAGTAACAACGTCGTTTAAATACATCTAAGACATTATGTGCGCATATTGATAATATATGCAAAAGAGAAACGAAAAAAGAGAAAGAGAGAAAAAGTCTGATAATGTGTGATACTTTGACTGCATACAAAAATTCAATTCCCGAATTTATACATATTTCATATTTATGCCATTTTATTTATCGATAAAATTACAATTTTTAATTTTTTTTTTTTTTTTTTTGAGAATTTGCTTTAAAAATAAAAGATTAAAAAATATAATACTATTTTTTATAATTTATAATAATTTGTATTATATATATATGGATGATTTGGCGATAATAAGAGCATTTCTCTTCGTTTTTTTTTTTCGCGTTTTCCTTATTTTACGTTACGAAGAGACAGTCCTCGCGATTGTCGGGGCGTGTCGATATTGTGTACTCGTAATCCACGCCGCGACCTACTTCCGCCCACGTCACGGCGCCACTTCTCCTGATCCTGGACCAGTTCGGTCTGTCATCGAGCTCGCGGAGCGTGGCCGTGAGATCTCATCGCGAACGATTCTTTCTAACCATGCTCTTTCACTTCGATACGTTTTGCATGAGAACACGTGCAGAAATTGTATTACTAATTGTAAGAGCAGGAACGACGTCGTGCATTTCCGGAAGTGAGCGCATTTTATTCAATCATGAGTTAATTGCATGACTT